GACTGGCACTCATGTAAGCCAGATCCGTGAAGAGCAAGCCGGGTTTCGTTGAGGTCGGGACTGCATCGATCACATCTTCATCTTGCGTCATTTGTTGGAGCATCGCCATGGTTATTGAAGACCCACCGTTGTCGTGTTTCTTGACGTAAAAGGTGCCATCGATTCAGTCGATCAATGTGCCCTTTGGGATTGTCTGTTGAGGAAAGGTGTGCCTGATAAATACGTAAACATTATCAAAGCGCTGTACACGCATAGATCGAGCAGAGTGAGGGTTTATGGCAAGCTGTCGCCACCCTTTAGTATCACCAGCTATGTGAGACAAAGTTTCCCGCTGTCACCTTTCCTCTTTAACTTCGCTATTGATGAAGTTATGGAAAAAGCGTTCACTGGACACGACCTAAAAGGTGTGGAGCTACTTCCTGGTGAACGACTTCTTGACTTAGAGTATACGGACGATATTGCCCTAATCTGTGACAGCTCACAAACATGCCAAGCAGCACTGGACCGATTAGCACTGGCTGTTTATCGTTTTGGGCTATGCTTGGCTCCACCGAAATGCAAAGCAATTTTGCAAGATTTGCTGGGACCCACCGCTGCGCTAACGCTAACGTACAGGAATTCAAGTACCTGAGCAGCTATATTAGCGCCCGAGGTATCAAAGATGAGGTTACGGACCGTATAGTAAAAGCTTGAAGTGCATTTGTCAATCTCTGCCACCTGCGGCTCAGACGCGACATTACACTCGCCCGGAAGGGCAGAGTTTATAACGCAGCCATCCGTTCAACCCTCTTATATGGTTGTGAAACCTGACCCATCAGGTCGACAGACATAAAGAGGCTCGTCACATTCGATCATCGCTGCCTTCGCAGCTTAGCTCATATCCGGTGGGTGTACCGCGTGAGCAATGAGCGTGTTGGGCGTCGCGTATTTGGTGCAGGAAAAGCGAGTGAACCGCTCAGCACCATTATATCACACACCAGGCTCCGATGGCTGGGCCACGTGTTGCGCATGCAAGATCACCGACTCCCGGGATGTGTATTGTTTGCGCCCCGCGGGTGCGGTTGGAGGAGGAGAAGGGGAAGCCAAGCGATGACTTGGTCGAGAGAGATGAAAACCCTCACTTCGAAGTTGGCGTCGGTTGGTGCAACCCGACAGCCGGGCTGGGATCTTAACGACGATGAACACGTTTGGTTGGACACACTTGCTGATATAGCGAAAAGCCGGTCCCAAAGGCGTTTGTGTCTTGAGTTTCTTTGTCCATCCCCCTCCCTTTAGGCCCCCCTCCAATCCCGATCTCATGCAAAACGCTCAATATAATAATTAACATATATTTTTGTAGTGTATTTTTTAGTCGGTTATCTTTATGTACTGCGGCACATTAGTTGAGGTGTTTCTCACCCTCGGCTAACGTGTAATGATGATGATGATGCTGATAATGATGATGCTGACGATGATGATGATGATGACGATGATGATGATGATGATTGATGATGATGATGATGATGATGATGATGAGGAGGATGATGAGAACTGAGAACTGAGAACTGGTGCGAAGCAGCGAGTAGAGGTTGCTCTGTGTAGCTGCATCATTCGTCGTTTTCGGACATGAACTCTTTATTTATCGTTTCGCTCTCTGTACTTTGCCTCTGCAAATTGTCGGTCTAGTAGCATCTTGAATTGAGACACTGTGTTGGCTTCTACTATATGCTGAGGCAGGTCGTTCCAGACATTCACCACTCTGCGTTCAAAACAGAGTTGATGGGCGACCCGCTTCAAATCCGGGACGATAAGTTTATACCGGTGTCCTCGCGTGCAGCTTGGTGTGCGCAGATGAAGTAGTTGTCTCAACATGGGGTAATCACCCAGATGTAATATCCGGTGCGTCATGATGAGGTCAACTCTCAGCCGACGATAAGATAGGGTGTATAACCCTAGTTTCTTACATCGGTCTTCGTATGGCATACCTCGTAAGTTGGGAATCAGCCTGGTGGCTACATGCTGCACCCGCTCAAGCTTTTCTACTTCGCCCCGGGTGATGGGACAGTATGCGGGAGTGCCGTACTCCAGCATTGGTCGTATTATCGAGACGAAGAGGCGAGTAGCAATCTCTTCGGACCAAGTGCTAAAGCTGCGCCTGAGAGCCCAAAGCATACGAAGGCTGTTTTGGTACAGCCTATTCGTGTTGTCAATGGACTTTAGGTCGCAGCGTGAGAGTACACCGAGGTCGCGCACGAAAGGAGCGGGATGTAACGGTTGACCAGCCACTGTGTACGTTCGGCCGTGATCACACTTACCCAACCTCATAAATTGCGACTTGGCAGGGTTGATCGGAAGGTTAACCTCTGCAGACCATGTCGAGAGGCGGTCGAGATCCTGCTGAAGTAAATCGCAATCATTGAGTGTGCGGATTACTCTCCACACCTTCAAGTCATCTGCGAACAAAGCACAATGTGATTGTAGTAGCTGAGGCACATCGTTTATATGGATTAGAAACAATATCGGTCCTAGTACAGTGCCTTGGGGCACGCCGCTGCTCGATGGATACCACTCAGTTAGATGGTTGTCCACCTGGACTCTCCACTTCCGATCAATAAGGAAATTTCTGATCCATTTGTGCAGCGAACCACCAACACCGCACATCCTCAGCCTGTCAAGGAGCACTGCATGGTTAACCTTGTCAAAAGCCTTACTGAAGTCAATGTAAATGACGTCAACCGATTGGCCTTTGTTCAGCGCTTGTAACCATTCGTGCCTCGTCAACAGTAGGTTGGTGATGCACGAACGACCTTTCAGGAAACCATGCTGTGCGGAGGTTAACAGGTTTTTCGACTCGAGAAGCTGCAGAAGGCTCTTCTTCACGATCTTCTCGAGCGTCTTTGCCAAAACTGCCGTCAGGCAGATCGGCCGGTAGTTATCCACTTTGCTTGGGTTACCACCTTTCGGGATAGGCTTTACGACTGAGCATTTCCAGTCGTCCGGTAGTAGACCAGTGGATAGTGACCTGTTAAACAGTTCAGTTACAGAAGGTGCAATTATGGTCGATAATGACTTGAGGATTAGTGGGTGTATACCATCTGGCCCAGCAGGTTTCGTCCCGTCAAGATTTGCTAGAATCTTGCGTACATCCTCAATATTGCAGTCCAGGCTGTTAAGTTCGGCTGGAGCGGTGCTCGTCGAACTCATTACAGACACCTGGTCACTTGCGAATACGGAGGCGAAGTGCGTTGCCAATGCTGACGCACGATCTGTACTCGAGGTTAGGGGCTGTCCTTCTGAGCCTTCTAACACTGGGATATTGGCTATAGGTCTTAGGCGCCGCTTCACATATGCGAAGATCCTCTTGGGAGCAGTTTTTGAGGCAGAAGCAAGCTCCTCTTCGAAGCTTCTGCGTTTTCTTGTTTTCGCGTTGTTGCAGCGATTTCGTTGTACCTTGTACGCATTGTAGTCCTCATCAGAGCCAGATAACACGAATTTGTTCCATAGCCTACGTCGCCGTCGGGCCATTTTGTTGTACTCTTTGTCAAACCAATGTGGTTTGACTGGCCCAACTTTCCGAAATTTGAGGGGCACAAATCGGGCGCACAACGATTTCACTCCCTCTTTAATGATAGCCCAACAGGTTTCAATAGATGAATCCTGTGGTAAAGACCAGTCTATCTGGCTCGCTGCTCGAATGAGGCCATTAAAGTCCGCCTTCCAATAGTTGAAGGCTGACTCTAGTGGGAGAGGATACGGTAGCGGTAGTTCTAAACTGCCTATGATCACTGAGTGGTCACTCGCTCCCAGAGGCTCTAAGACTTGAATGTTATGTACACGCTGCTCACAGCTAGTCAACAGCAGGTCTAAGCATGATGGAGTCGCGCGCGCTGTGATGCGTGTCGGTTGGTTGATGTGCTGTGTGGCCGCGGTTTCAAATATCAACTCCGTAAACTTCCTCTCGACTTCACAGTGGCCGGGAAGAAGTTCAGCTTCAGGCCACTGTATTCGGGGCAAGTTGAAATCGCCCATGGGTAGGAACATCGGACGACTCATGTGGTTGCGAATACGCGGCAACCAGTCCAAACAGCGGCTCAGTGGACTGCGATATACCACGCCGACGAGCAACTCGCCGCGTCTGAGGTGAATCGAACACCATAACTGCTCACATAGACCATCAGCGTTTTGGTAGGCGCTCACTAGTCTCCCATACAAGGAAGACTATATGTAAAGCAAAACGCCACCACGATCGTTTGATGGTCTATTACAGCGGAAGCATAATGACGATGATAATGATGATGATGAGGATGATGCTGATGATGATGATGATGATGATGGATGATGATGATGATGATGATGATGATGGTGATGATGATGATGATGATGATGATGATGATGCTGCTGCTGCTGCTGATGATGATGATGATGATGATGACGATGATGATGATGATGATGATGATGATGATGATGATGATGATGATGATGATGATGATGATAGTGATGAGGATGATGATGATGATGATGATGATGACGATGATGATGATGATGATGCTGCTGCTGATGATGATGATGATGCTGCTGCTGCTGCTGATGATGATGATGATGAACATGAAGATGATGATGATGATGATGATGATGATGGTGATGATGATGATGATGATGATGATGATGATGATGATGATGATGATGATGATGATGATGATGATGATGATGATGATGATGATGATGATGATGATGATGATGATGATGATGATGATGATGATGATGATGATGATGATGATGATGATGATGATAGTGATGAGGATGATGATGATGATGATGATGATGACGATGATGATGATGATGATGCTGCTGCTGCTGCTGATGATGATGATGCTGCTGCTGCTGCTGCTGCTGATGATGATGATAGTGATGAGGATGATGATGATGATGATGATGATGATGATGATGATGATGATGCTGCTGCTGCTGCTGATGATGATGATGCTGCTGCTGCTGCTGCTGATGATGATGATAGTGATGAGGATGATGATGATGATGATGATGACGATGATGATGATGATGCTGCTGCTGCTGATGATGATGATGCTGCTGCTGCTGCTGATGATGATGATGATGATGATGATGATGATGATGATGATGATGATGATGGTGATGATGATGATGATGATGATGATGCTGATGATGATGATGATGATGATGATGCTGCTGCTGCTGCTGGTGATGATGATGATGATGATGATGATGATGCTGATGCTGCTGCTGCTGCTGCTGCTGATGATGATGATGATGATGATGATGATAGTGATGAGGATGATGATGATGATTATGATGATGACGATGATGATGATGATGATGATGATTGTACCAACGATACTAAGCCTAAACTAAGTATGTCGTACGAAACTAAACTAGACACTACGAACAGATAATCCTAGACCTAACGCACGGTCTGGGCAGAAGGATAGAACGAATTATCCTGTAGCCGTGGTTCTATAAGGCATGATAAATACAGTACATGACTTACGAATAGGTTTTGCAGTCGTAATGCAAGTGGGCAGAAACTGTGCAGCGTGGGGCGGATGGAGTATTTGGGCAGTGCCACATTAACATAATAATAAGAATGACCTTGAAACCTCAAGGATGTGTCAGTGGTCGAGTGTAAGAAATAAATATAAGATATGTTAACTGCTTGTAAAACACAGTAAAGCAGTGTAAATATGCAAGATAATGAGGGAAAAGAGATACCGTGTCCTCATGTAAGCAATCCAGTTTGGGGGATACATCGAAGTTCCTTTTGGACTTTACAATGATGATGATGATGTTTACTATTTCCTT